TGCACGTACAAGTGCGTGCGTGCGTGCGTCCGTCCATCCGTCCGTGTGTGCACGTACACGTGCGTGCGTGCGTGCGTGTGTGCGCGCGTGTGCATGTGCACGTAGACGTGCGTGCGTGCGTGCGTGTGTGCGCGCGTGTGCATGTGCACGTAGACGTGCGTGCGTGCGTGCGTGCGTGTGGATGTACACGTGCGTGCATGAGTGTGTGCGTGAGTGTGCACGTACACGTGCGTGCGTGCGTGCTTGTGTACGTACACGTGCGTGCATGCGTGCGTGCGTCCGTGTGTGTGCACGTACACGTGAGTGCGTGCGTGCGTGCGTGTGCAGGTACACGTTCGTGTGTGCGTGCGTGTGAGCGTGTGCAGGTACACGTGTGTGCGTGCGTGCGTGTGTGCGTACGTGCGTACGTGCGTGTGTGTGCAGGTACACGTGCGTGCGTGCGTGCATGCGTGTGCACGTAGACGTGCGTGCGTGCGTGCCAGCATGATTGCTGAAACATTGCTATTACGTCAGTATCATTGAACAACTCTGATTGGCTGATGAATTGTGCAATCGGGCTACTAAATCGCCGACCCGGACACACTAGCCGATTTTATCGGGCGACTGAAATAATCGCCCGATAATATCAAAACGTTTTGATCTATGCGATTGAATCGGGCGACTAAATCGGCGGCGACTGACTGGACACACTAGGCGATTTTCACGGCGATTGAGTTACCCGACTAAGTCGCCCGATTAAATCGCCTAGTGTGTCCGGCCCTTTAGCGTTTATGTTATTTGTTGTGTTTGTGCATATATAGAAATTCTTATCTTGAGCACAGCTATTCAAATCCATTACTCCATGCTTGTGGAATGACCATTCTCGTTGATTTCGTTGTTTGATATGAAAAAATAACACTGTACAATGCTAGTAAAATAGTTTATTACGGAAAGAACTAAAAACATTATTGTAATAGAAAGCATTACACCGGTTTAAGAACATAGTTAATGCTATTTACAGTAACTGCATAATAATAACAAATGTGTTGACTCATATGATTTTTACTAGCTGAACTACAAATTCATCCGGAGATTTCTAGTTTTATAAGCATGGCTGACAAACATAATGCATGTAGTCTCGATATGAGGCCAATTCCCAATATTAATGTTGCAGTGCTGTTTTGTCATACATCAACTAAGTTCCGCTAGTGGGCATCAGTTAATTTATAAGTTCCATCTTTACTCGTAGCTTTGCGACAGTCGCTGGTTTCCGCAACGGCTACGGAATCGGTTTAAGTTCGATTTAAACATTTATTTTGTTTTGAGGTGAAGTATGCCAGAGTGCAGAATGCTGCTATGAACCATGGGCTGGCTTATTCGCGTTACTTCGCAAGTACGAGACATTTAGCCATAACAACATCAGGTGAAGCAAAGCCTCAATTTAAGTTTTTCACATGTTTAATGACTTTGGAATATGAACAGAAGTTTACAACAAATGCCAGCATTGTTTGGATTTGTTGTTGAGGATAGTAAAGGAACCGTCGTAAATAGGTAGAATGAGTTGAGGTGTGCTTCTTTCCATGCGTCAAGAAGTATAAAATAACCGTCATTTGCCAAACAAATGTGTAATATAAAGTAGATAGAGATATGTTGTTTTTCTTCTCAAAATTTGCCGATTTCTATGTCAGTTTGGTATTATAAGTAAAGCTTATGGTATGAAGCCATGCTTTTGTCTTGTATATGGAACTGCCCCCCAGTGTTCATGTAGCCATGCTAAATGAAAGTACCACCAGTCCGAGGATGTTTTAGTGTACCAAACATTACTAGCCTTGTACACACTTTGCATTGCGGAAATTTGGAGCAAAGTGGCAAATTGTTGGACGTATCCGTGGTTAGATTGTCAACTGAGAGAGTGTATGGGTGCTCTCCTGGTATCGTTGATAGTACCTCCTGCCCGTTCTTGACACAAAATAAAATATTGCGCCGATGACATCGCAAGTACTGTATACTTGAGACGTTCACCAAAACTCCATTCAATGTGTGGTTACTTTGATTATAGAAAACTGTACTGCGAGGGGTCTGCAGTTATGTGTAGTTGTGTTGTTGTCTGAGTTCCTATATATTTAAATCTGAACACAATAAGAAGTATTATTATTATTATTTTATTATTATTATCGTAGTTAGTAGCTTTCGTACGGCTTGTATATGATTGCATGCGTATTTTACCTTGATGATACTAATGATTTTAATAAAGTTGTATGTCACATGTCATACAGTGAATTTATGTAAAAATATATCGGGATATATGCAATTGTTTAAGTCAATGGCGAGTGGGCAAAATATGTCCATAAAACGTTTTATGGCACAATACTTGCAATTTTAATTTCCTAGGTGATATCATTTGTGTAGTTCCTTCTCTCCTCGTGAAGAATAGGGCTGAACTCAAATTTCTCCATGACGTTCTATCTTTGGCAGCTCTTTCGGCCTCGTTCCATGTTTTAAAACCTAATGTAATCCGTTCTTTCTCAACTGTTCTTCGCCATGTTTCCCTTGGTCTTCCCCCTTTTCTCTTCCCCTCCGGGGCCCATGTCAGTGCAATGTGTGGGTTTTCGTCTTTCTTCATTGTGTTGACATGGCCAATCCATTTCCATCTTCTTTTTATTAATATGCTGATTGTTTCGGTGTTAGCTTTCTTCCTGAAGTTGGCGTTTGATACCTTCATAGGCCAGTATATCTTCATTCTTCTTCTTGTAGTATTTATGTTGGAAGGTATCTAGCTTTTTCTCATCTCCTTTTGTCATTCTCCAAGTATCCGTATTTGGTATACTTTCCGTATACCAGTATCGAAATCACATTGGATTTGAATATCCGTATTCCGTCTTTCTGCTGTACAGGCTGCCATTCCATACCTTGCTAAACTTGTTAAATGCTCCATATGCTTTGCCAATGTTTGTTTGTATGTCAGTTTCCGTCACTGATCTGTATTCCACAGATGAACAACGCATGCACGCACGCACACAATATATATATA